AACAGTCGCACTTTCCACAAAGCGAATACATAGGTATGTAGATATATATAAGGTATATATATATGATATATATATATATATGTATATTATATTGAGAGAGAGACAAACAGAGAGAAAGCGATAGCGACAAAGACAATGAAATTCGTATAAAAAAATAGATTCATCAAGAGGCTGCCATAACCCTGTTGGGCCCTACTCATGCACGCCACAAAAAAAAACAGACAGGAATCAACATTGCCAAGAGTTCGGTTGCGGAGCTCTGTGAAGATGCGCGTGATGTGCATCATGAGAGATGAGGCTCTCCCTCAACTTCTTTCCTAGCGCCAGGACGCATGCAGAGTCATCCTTCGGCGGTGGTGGAGAAAGACGGTGACATGTGGCTGGAACATGCTGACTGCAGTGGGGCCTGCTCTCACCGTCCAAATCATCACTGCTGTTGTCATCAGAACAGCAGTTCTCGATCAACCTGCACTGTGGAATCGACCATAATGTTGTGGAGGACGCAGATGGCCATGAACTCTTTGCAAAGAGTTTTCATGTTGCCAATATGTCTCCTTATGAAGTTCCTCCACACTGCCTTCAATCTCCCAAACGTGCGTTCGATGCATGACCGTGTTGAAGTGTGGCATTCATTATACACCTTCTCGGCTGGTGTCCTGCTGCTCCCTCCAACTGGTGTCATGAGCCATGGAAACTGCGGGTAGCCAGCATCCGCCAAGAGATACCTACCGACACTCCGACCATCGCGAAGGGCTCCGCTCCCCGTTGTTAAAACCCTCGTACCTCGTTGTGCCCGTTAGTAAAGAGGGGATATTCGGAGGACACGACTGTCATGAACAGACCCAGGACTCAGGAGAGGCCACATACACACTAACGATTCGACACTCGTGATCGCACACCACTTGCGCAACGACGAAAAATTGTCGTGTCCGATCATAGTAGCATTATCCCCACTCATTCCTTGGCTTCTCAATGTAGACGTGGGTGCAACCAATTGCACCAACACAACCAGGGAAGCCTTTCCAATCGAAAGCATCAAGTGTTTTGTGAAGCTCCCCATCGGTTGGGAATTGTAGCAGATGGCTGTACTCCGTGATGAGGGCATCAGCGACGTCCTCATTGCTCCGCATGGCGCTGGCAAGGCCGAGGCCCAGACCATGCGCCGATTGCGTATAGAAACCACCAGTTGCCCACTGGATGAGTGAGCACACAAACTTATGTGTTGCCAACACTGATTATCTCCAGTTTGTCGCCTGCCGCTGGATATGAGGAGCGATGCGAGCAAGTATCTCTTCAAACAATGGCCAGGGGAGTCTATAGAAATGCTGGAACACCTTCTCATGACGGCCGCCCACTCTCTGGAGATCCTTCTTCACGTCGCCTCTGAGTTCGAGAACACCGAGCTGTCGTCTACCATCCATGCAACTCGCGCACATGCTGGCGGCCGTGGAAGTCGAGGACATGTCGTGCATAACCGCACCTGTCAACAGCAAGAGGGCCACCGACATGCCTGGCACGCACATTGGCACCGTGGCTGCCACTTCGATGACGACCATTGCCATGACGTTCCTGTGGTTCATCCACTGCAGGGGGATGAAAATGAGCAGAAGTGTTGAATCGCCCCAGCCATCGATTTGCGGATCCATGCTTCGACGGCAAAAACATGACGGGAGAGCCCCATGACTGGCGACGTAGGACACACAGCAGTGATGACAAGAACCGGATGCGAGCTGACGTACTCCTTGTCCCGCGGGATGGCATGTGAATTCCGTCGTCTCGTGCACAGAGGACGAGGATGATCATCACCCCAACAATGGCAAGAACTCTTTCAAAATTCTATAAACATGACGAAAACCAGGAACACGCCATGGGCACACAAAAGACAACGGTCATCATGGACAGTACCAGGTTCCACATGTGTGTGATGCGCAACCTTACGCCCCTCGCAGTGTTCCGTACTTTGGACGCCGATCAGAGTTAGTAGGGGTGTGGCCGAGGGTTTTTGGCCGTGGGGGTTGAGTCATCCGGACGAAACGGGGGACTCTTACTTCGGCCCGAGGTGCCTGGGCGAGGATTCGGGCTGTCGCCAACGGCGGATGATGGGAGGACGGTGTCCTAAGGCCCAAACGTCATCCTTTTTTTTTTTTTCGGAAAAAGAGAAAGTAACCGACGAGAGGAGAGGAGACGAAAGACGAAGCGGACGAGGGCGAAAATCCGTTCCCCAAGGCACAGGGTTCGCGCAGGCCTTGGGGGTGGAGGCCCCAAAAACAGGTTCAGGCTTCGTTGTCGGACTCATCTAGTCCGTGCGGACGGCGCGGCACGGGCTCGCCCGGGGTCGGACAGGTTGATGGAACCCAGGTTCGGAAATGGGCAGGGAGCACGCCCGCGTTATAGGAAAGTTCGGGGAATCGGGTAGCCCCTTCGTACCCCAGCACCAACCGTCGCCAAGAGCACGAGTCTCCCTGGCGACACCAACGACATTTAAACCGCGGTCGCCAGATGGCGTGCACGGCGGACCAAGGCGACACCATGAGGTCGGTGTACGGTAAAATTAAAGGTGGGGAGGCAAATCGCTCAATCAGCGCAAACCCACTCCCGCCTATATGGCATGTCTAGGTCGGGTTATAAAGGTGGATTGGCTCAGTGCGCCACAGCACACCCCGCACGTCCGCGGCATCGCAGTAGATGCCATTGTTGTCTACGATCGGGAAGGGCGGGAGCGCGCGGCAACGCTTTGAGGCCAGGTCCGAGCTCGGGCGACGACCCGCGCTTCTGTCCGACGAGACGAAACCTGACTCCATGCAAAGATCAATGGATGTCGTTGAAAAAGGATGCGTCCAACTTTCTTTCTCCATCTCTTCTCTGTATCATCAACCTCAACGCGGTGTCAAACACCCGGAGAGAGAGAGAGAGAGAGAGATAGA